AACTGCGGTTACTGAAACCACGCCTTCTTTCTTTGCAGCACATTTGGGCGCATTATGCAAACATTCCCACATAGTGAGGTAGATATGTGGGGGCGTGTTAGAACGAGACGTTTTAGGGGGCGTGGCAGAGTCTTAACTTTGATAAAGTATATCTCTTCATTCTAATGTTTTCTCACCTGACTTAGAATGGTAGTGTAATGTTTGTAGTGTACAGTTTCTAATGCATCACCTGGCAACTCGTTAAGTTTCGCAAACAAAAAACGCTTAAAGCAACGACACGAGCAGCTGCTGCGCAACTGTTAAGCTCCACATTGTTCACGTCCATGCGGGCCTAACAACCTTGTTCTGATCCTTCCTTTCACTCTCGTTTTTAATTGGCTGCGAACAGTCTGTATAGTTGACGTTAATTGGTTGATTTGGGAGGCTTTGCGAGAGAACGAATGCTGATAGGATGCGCGAATCCACTGCGTCGATCTGATTGGCTGTTGGGTTCTGCGAGCAGGCTGACCGTTGATTTAGCAGGAGCTAATGTGAAACCGGCAATTCGCCACACGCGCTGCTGCCAGTGTCTGAGCTAAAAGCCTCACAGCTACCGGCGCAGGAGGTGCTTCAATAAAATCCCTTCAAGTTCAACACAAACACATATTACTGATTCCCACTTGGTAAGTGTATCTTTGGATTTATTCTGTTGTATTAAAAGATATAAAGCGTTTATTTTTTGCAGCCTTTTTTGTGTTCTAATGCGGTTAGCGTATTGACTCTGTTAGCTTGTGCGCAGCTAATAGCCATGTGCTTTATGTGACGGATCTGTTTTCTATAAATACACGATTTCGCAGGTTTTCATAAAGCCTTTCGGATGATAAATATAACGCTTTATTGCGGACTGAAGCGGTAAAACTCGCCGCTGGGTGGGTTTTTGTTGCTCGACGCTCTGAGGATTAGCTTTAGCTGCATTTCCCTCACCATCAGCCGACATTTCCGTCAAAGAGATCCCGCGTTTACCGAGCTTTACGCGTCTTTTACGCCGTATTCCCATGTACGATCACTTAAACTCATTTTCCGTGTACAATGTGGTCGTTTACTGTTGATATCTGTCATCTCATCTAAGCGTATGCGACGAGTGCTGGGCACGTGTCTGATACATTAAAGACGATTGCAGAAAATCAAGTGTTTTTGACTGAAATTGCGAACGTATCTGAATAAATGTTTGGTTTTTAATATCGTCAAATGTCTCCGCGTGATCACAAAGGAGCCGGGCTTAAGATAGTAACGCGGCGTGTGGTGTTGAGGCCTAGTTGAGTCCATTTCACAATGCATCCATCTGATTAAG